CCCACCCCATCCCACATTCTCCTCCCTCCCCATGTTCTCCTCCCCCCCTTAGTGGACTCAAGATCCAAGATCCCAGCACAAATTACCTTACAGTGTTACCTTACATTTCTCAGCATGTGTTAAGTTCTTACAACAAACTCTTCAATTTTAATAAAGTAACATTGTCCAATGCATTACCTTTTTATTTGACTTTCTTCCTGGACTCATAAGCCATATACATTTCTATGTGCCAAAAAGTTGTTACAACATGATTAATATTTTAGCTAGTTTAACTGTCAATTTTATAGTATATAGTTTACTTCTTCCACTATATAATAAATTCTTCATCAAGTGCCAAGCACTTTTATTATATTAAACACTTATATTCTCTTTAGAAGATGAATCACAGTTATTAATTGTAACTATTTTTCTAAAGTAAAAGGCCTATCACTTACTGAGGTGGGTCAACAAGTTCACAAGGCATATGAAACATTATCTAATCTCAATTTATTAGTTTAGAGTCTAATTATTCTATGAAGAGATACAAATTCATTTCTTATTGCTTTTCATACGAAAACAAGTATGATAGATCTACTTTCATCAACCTTTACATAGACAATGGCACCACAAGGACACATGCAACTTCATTATGAACCCAACAGATCTAAACAATCTATATTTTTTTTTTTTAATTATTGACGATCTAAAGTAGCCCTACCAGAAACTCATAGACATGCTTGGTGCTTGAGTGTTTATTTATGTTACTCTTGCCACAACTGTAGACCTTCAGCAGTAACTTGCTAATGGGCCTTATTATCCTAACCATCCAATAATGACAGATCTAATGATCTTTTAAGGTGTCTCATAACTGCATGACATGAACTAAAAAGTAGTAAAGCTATGGAGGCAATACAGAGCAATTGTTCTGGCTCTAAGCATACATATTTGATATAAAAAAACCTTTATAAATTAAGAGTTGGGCTTCAGAAAATGTATATGCTCAAAATCTGCCTTCATCTGTTTTCCTTTGTGTTATCACAAAATCAAGCCTGGAGGAAAAACCATAAAAGACACACACTGTTTAATTCTCCAGTCATGTCTGTGAACAGCAGAGGCCATTAGCTGTGTTATATTGTGTGCGCAGTCCAACTGGTCCTTGACTGTAGGTGTTCATGAAAAGACTATTAAATAGTCTTGGATTCACCTTGTCTCTTTAGTTATAAAATTAACTACTTCATCAAAATGAGTTAAACTTAGTAAAGTTTTTTTGTGTGAAAGTTTTGAACAAACTTTATACTTAATTTATACTTAATTTTTAATTTGACTAATGATTTAGATAAAATTGCAGTTATTTCATTCGTGTATTCCTTTAAAGTCTTCCACAACACTAAAGATCTCTATCTTGCTGATAGGGAATACAAATTTCTATTTTACCCATATAGATTTTATTTTGTTATACAATCCCTGGCCCTCTTTGTCTGGTCATCCACCATTCACAAACTATTGTGCCTACACCACTCTTTGATGGATACCGTTTTGTCTCTGGAAAGGACCCAGTGCCCAGCTCTTTACTTGATGAGTCCAGCTTATGGACCCTTTGCCAGACATTTATCCGTTTACTTTAAAATACCTGACAGCTCCATAAGAAAACACAATGCATTGAAAGAGCCCTTTCCTCTGATGTCAAGCAAGCTCCAGCTACGGAAATATTTCACTACCTATAACTGAAACGTTTGATACAACATAACCTGTCAGTTCTTGAAATGTATGTCTCCTACCAGATTTGAAGCTTTTTGCCTGAACCTAGTTAAACAAGTGGAGTCAGTATCCTTGCCTTTTCGATTATACGTGAACTCCTAACATTGCCTGCTATTCCTCTCTCCTCTTCATGTTGCTCATCGGCAGTAAAAGGTGAAAAGTAGGCTTCTTTCCCTTGGCATCATTTAGAGTGGGAGCAGAAGAGCTGTGCACCAGCCTTCCCTCCTACTCCATCTTGGAGGACTGAACTTGAAACAGAAAGTGGGTACAAGGATATGATGTCACATCTAGGCCCTTACTTATGGTTGAACATGCAGTGCTCATTGGTTGACGGCAATGATTTATTTACTAGCTGCCCAGTACCTGTTTATTTTATTTCTAAGAAGCTCCCCAGCAATATTATTAACAGATTTCTGGCAGTTGGACAAACGTCAAATGGAATAAGACAAACCAAAAGGGCACAAAAAAATATGAATATTAGTATTCATTTTGCAATACACTGATAGGAGCATTTTGCCACCATAATATATATATATATATATGTAGTCTGGACAATAAGCTGAGTTATAGTAGTGGTGGTATAAGTCATATAAGTTGTGGTGTGCCGAAACTGACGTTCGGGTAGGCCTGTAAAAGAGGACCCATTAAGTGAATGCTTAATAAATGGAGCGGTGGGTGGGCTGAACCAGGAAGTCTCAGCCCAAAGGAAGGGGAGGCCTGTGAATTTATAGGCCGGGCAAACCCCTCCCACAACTACAAGGTCCGCCTTTCTAATTTGGAGTTGGGACAGTAAGCCGAGTTATAGTAGTGTTGGTATAAGTCGGTTGTGGTGTGCAGACCGACGTTCGGGTAGGCCTGTAAAAAAAGGAAAACAGGTAACAGTTTAATCCTTTTTACGTGTTGTTACATAACCAGTACTTTAAATGCCTGTCTCAGTTCCCTCTCTGTTTGAGGGATATCTGGTGTTTGCAGATGATTCCAATGTCCCAGTTTATGATGTGCCCTGGGATGTTTAATAAAGGCTGCAGAAACAGTGCTTATTCTAAAAGAGTGACCTGAATATGTTAAAGGGTCATATCAGAGTTTTATGAATTGTGTCCTGTACAGGATGAATTTGATGTAGTAAGTGGTTACCGTGTAACCTTAAAAGAGAGCATATGCCTGTGTAGCCGTGTGAGTGTTGGACAATTGGTCTAGTATGTTAACCTGGCACCATTTATTGTTGATTGTATGTAGGTTTATGTCTACTGCTGGGTTTGAGATAAGTTTAACTGTTTGTACACTAATTTAAGGTTTAGGTGGCAAAAGGATGTGAATGTCCCCATGGCATTAATGGAGTACGGATTGACGATTCGATATTCTGAAGTGAATGTATTAAAATGGACAGAGTTCTGGTATATAAATGGTTGGTATAAGCAGAGAGAGACGTGTGTGCCAGCAATCTACCATGACCATGAGATGAGCTAGTCCAGAATAAAATTTTAGTATGTGGTTAAGCAGCCGTGGAATGTTAGGAGGAATACATGAAATGGGATTGAGACAAGGCTTCAGTTGCTATGTTGTGACAGGCTGGTATGTGAATGCAGACAAGGTAAAATTGCTGTGTTGCTGCCAGCCAAGTAACTTTGCATACTGCTGTGTTTGAGTATTAATTGACAGACTTCTTCCTGGCTACGATGAAGTATACTACTACAAGAGCTGAAGATTACTAAAAGAGTAGGCTTCATGTCTCTGCCGGCCATGTGTCACGAAACCAGTTGTCCTTGATAATGGCTGCAAACCCAGCCTAAAATAACAGGGGAGTAATTTGTCAGTGGGGGATTTGCAGGATGCTTATTCCCATGTATCCATTGCCCCACATCACCAGAGGTTTCTCAGATTGCAGTGGATGAACACTTTCATTTTTACATCTTCATGGTGAAAGATAAATGTCTGCTGAAATCACCTTGATCCCTCCCAGTCTAGGGTATAGCCGGGAACACGTTTTGACACTGTCCAAGGCACGGTACAGCTCTCTTCAGAAAGTGCAGTACGGCTTATCAGATAAAGGATGTTGAGTGTCATATTACCTCAGCAGAGGAAGTTTTGATCTAGGTCCTCCACCATAGATCTAAGTGGACGATGATGGCACAAGGAAAAATGTTAATTTTCCTATAGAAATTCATTGGACAGTGAAAACTATGAATACCATCCACTGGGGTTGAGGAACTTTTCTCCAAAATGGAATATGTTCATGAAAGGGACATTCTTAACACCCAATACCTCCCTTCTACATCAACATGGTTTTCATGTGACATTCTGTGGTTTCTGCAGCTTCACCCTCAGCCCTCCATCTTATGCCCTAATATTTTTTTCTATATAACCATTGAAATATGCTTAGTTCTGTAAATTCCTTTTATGATACAGTGTGACTTCAAGCATCCGGTTTTTGTCGCGCAAGTCACAAAGCTGTTTTTCCAGAATAGTATATAATCTGTAAGTCTACACAATAAAAATGGAAGAAATCTTTTAAATCAATCTCTCTCTGGTCTGATTTCTTTGCTCCGAGATGCTTGAATAAAAGTACAATAGGGTTTCCACCTGAACATATCTCCGGGTAACTTTATATCCATATCACTTCTGTGTATCTTCTTCAGTACCTCCATGTGACCTCCCAAAAGAGTTCTTTCCTCTTCCAACAGGTCCAGTGCTACTCTCTTCTTTCTGAGGGATTCACTATTGAAAAGAAAGGCTTAAATATCAGGGTCTTTCAGGTGCAGCAATTAATACCCTCCTGAAGGCCAGGGAAAACGTATATCCTCGGCTACCTTTACAGAGTTGGGATGCCTTTTTCCTGGTCTATTTCTAATTAGGTAATAATTAAAATTCCTTTTACCAAGGAGGTTCTAAGTTCTTCAATCCAGGACTCATCTAGGACTTAGCCACATCACCTCAGAGGTACATGTCTTAGCACTCTCTGATCTCTCTATTCGTGAAGGGGCTGAAATTATTCTTCCAGTTCTAAAAGCCTGATGATTGGAATGAAGACTCCGTAAGGAAACTTTTTTTTTTTTTGTCAATCTTTGTTTTATTGCGGCATATAAGATGGGATACAGAAGAAAGAAAAGGGAAATGTACAATTTGTTCACAGCGTAGGGTCAATACAACATTAGCGGGAGGTAGAAACATTTCCTTGTTTAGCAGTACCATTTTTTTGATAAGTCGTTTAACGAGAACATGTATAAAGAGGTTACGTTAAGTTATTATCATAAAACTGGAGCTTCGTTTGGAGTCCTGTAGTAAACATATGTACAGTGCAAGTGCAGTTATGCTAATCACCTAGACATTAGTTAGTACATTGCGAGGTATCTTGCTTATACCTTATGTAGGTAGTCAACGTGCGATATCAAGGTAACTACCAAAATTTTTGCGTACTCGTAGCTGTGCAGAATAGACCTTTCTGCGGCTGATGTGTGCTCGTTTCTTATCATTTCCCGGATAACAATCAGGATACAACGTCCAGAAATAACATTTGTTTAACATGGCAAGTTTGTGGCTTACAATATGAGTTCAGTCAGTTAAGGGAATTACAGGTCGAGGCTATGTAGCCAGGTTTATGTAAGATGTGGAATGTGAACAGACCATGAGTCTATGTCAACCCCTGTCTCTGCATAACCGTGGGGCCTGTCCTTGGACTTCGCCCTAGTGGTAGCCGAGTGTATCCGTCAGATTCTTGTTATTGTTGGGTCAGTCTCAAGCCCTTCCCACTACGGTCTGTCGTTAGGTGACCTCCAACTGTCACGAGTATTCCTGCGTCAAGTCTTAGCATGTATATGGGCTATGGTGACTGTTTGGGTGTCAGCGGTCTCGAGAGTCTTCGGCATTGGTATGCTTCCCGGTTTCAGCCTGTCTGCCCGTTCCCCTTAATTTGTGGAATCCGTGTGTTCTCAGGGGCTCGTGCGTCTGTGTCGCGCGCTAGTTTGGCTGGTCAGGTTTTTTTTTCTTTTTGTTTGTTTTTTTCCCCTTTTTTTTAAAGGGTGCGGGTGCGGTCCCCCCCGGGCTCGTATCTACACATCTCTCGGAGGAGGGATAGATCAAGGAAGCGGGAGAGAGGGGGAGGAGGGGGAGTTGGAGGGGAGAGAGAGAAAGGAGGAGGGTTAGGACCGTTTTCGAGCCTGTGTTGCGGGTGACACGGCGTCCCTCTCCGCCCCTACCATCCGTCCGGCCGAGCACGTCCACGGCCTAAAGAGGCGCCCTTGCAATCCAGGTATCTCTTGCCTCCGCCCTTCCCGCTCTCCAGTGCGCTTTGGTGTTTATGTCTGTCTCCCGGATATAAATAGCAGCCAAGGCGTCCAGATTTGCTGGTATCGCTCTGTGGTTCCACGCAGGGAAGCTGTCAGCTGTTCCATGCCATGGATTTCTTCGACCTGTTCCATCCATTCCTGGAGGCTGGGTATCTGTGTGGTTCGCCACTTCCTCGGGATTAGCAATTTGGCTGCGTTCAGTAAATGCTTAGTCAGCGACTTCTTGTATTTTGATAGGGGCAGTGATGTGTGATGGAGGAGCATCTGAAGAGGGAGGAGCGGGGTGTCCGTGCCTGTGATGTTTTTGATCTGTGAGTGTATTTGGTGCCAATATGGGGTTATTCTTCTGCAGGACCACCAGATATGCAGATCTGTGCCTACTGCTTCATCACAGCGCCAGCAGCTTGCCGGGGCATCTGGTATCATCCTGTGTATTCTCTCAGGGGTCCGGTACCAGTTGGTCAGCAGCTTGAAGTTGAGTTCTTGTTGTTTGGTGCACATCGAACTTTGGTGTGTCAAGATGTGGATTTTCGTCCACTGGGGGTCCGTCAGTGCGACTCCAGTGGCGTCTTCCCAGCGCGTAATATGTTTGAGGGGTGTATGTTGCAGTGAGGACAGGAGCATTGTATAGAGGTACGAGATTCCTCTGCACAGGTGTTTGCGTGTCGTGCAGAGTTGTTCGAATCCTGTCAGGGGCCTGTGGAAAAGGTGCTTCCCGTAGTGGGACTGATAGTAGGTTTTAGTCTGGAAATATCGGAATCTGTCCAACCCCGAAGGTGTCCGTTCAGGCATCAGATCCTGTAGTTGCTTCAGTGAATTCTCTGTGCACCATTGGTGCATGTACGTCCAGTCCGAGTCCCCAAAGGCTTTGATGTCTTGTGGTGTAAGGCCACCCGCCAGGTCCGGGTTATGCGTGATTGGCGTCAGAGGTCCCGGGGTGGTGGTCAGCATTAGGGTGGTTCTCACTGAGTACCAGGTTCTCAGCGTCGCTCCGATGAGCGGGTGGTTACGGGTGCGTGTGTTTGTTAAGGTGCCCCCAAGCCATACCACGGCCGGGATCGACCCATCCAATTGGCTCCGTTCCATGTGTATCCATTGTTTGCAAGTTTCGGGGACGTGCCAGTCCACGACTCTATGGAGATGTGTCGCTCTATAGTAATCAAGGACTGATGGAAGACCCACTCCACCCTGTGCTTTGGGTAGGCGGAGGTGTAGCTTCTTCAGTCTGGGAGCTTTAGCTTGCCATATAAATTTAGTGATAGCTGTGTCCATCGTTCGGAAGAAGGCCCTCGGTATATTGATCGGTATGGTCTGGAACAGGTACAGGAGTCGGGGTAGGAGGTTCATTTTAATAGCATTCATTCTCCCGAACCACGAGATGCATAGACTTCCCCACCGAGTGAGGTCTGCTCCCAGCTTGTGTACCATCGGTGCGAAGTTGTGTGTGTAAAGCTGGGTCAGGTCAGCGGTCAACCAGATTCCCAGGTATTTGAGCCTGGTTGGGCACCACGTGAAGGCGAATTGGGTCTTAAGGTGGGTAGTCATCGCTTCGCCTGTCGAGATGGGGAGCGCCTCAGATTTATCCTTGTTTAGTTTCAGGTTGGATACCTGCCCGTATTCAGCAAAGGACCTCAGGAGGTTCGGGATGGAAACTATCGGTTCGCTAACGAAGAACAACATGTCATCAGCATACGCGGCTACTTTATGCTCCTGTCCTCGTAGGGTAAATCCCCCTATGCCCCCATCCCGTCTAACCGCCCCCAGGAAAGGTTCCAGGGAGAGGGCAAACAGAAGGGGGGACAGCGGGCATCCCTGTCTCGTCCCGTTTCGTATGTGGACTGGTTTTGAGAGAGCACCGTTGATCCTTATCCTTGCCGAAGGGATCGTATACAGGGAGGAGATCCACGCCATTAGATGCGGGCCGAAGCCCATGGCCCGGAGTGTAGCCAGCATGAAACCCCAGTCCACCCGATCGAAGGCCTTCTCCGCATCGGTGGAAAGGAGAAGGACTTTTTGAGCAGAGCGTCTGGCCGCATGAATGACGTTCAGGGCCCGTATGGTATTATCTCGTGCTTCCCGGCCAGGGATGAACCCTACCTGGTCGGGATGAACTAAGTCTGGGAGAACTCTTCCTATCCGTGTCGCTAGGACTTTCGTGAAGAGTTTCAGATCCGCGTTTAGGAGTGAAATTGGCCGGTAGCTTGCACAGTTGGTTGGATCTTTGCCTTCCTTAGGGATGACTGTCTCTCGGGAGCGTCCCTCCGTCTAGTAGGGAGTTGAGACCTGTGAGTAATTTAGGTAGGAGCACATCGCCAAATTCCTTGATGTATCGAGCCGGCAATCCGTCCGGGCCCGGAGCCTTATTGGGCTTGGAACCCTTCAGCGCTGTCTGAAGTTCTTCTAGTGCAATTGGGGCTTCCAGTTCTGCAGCCACTTCTTGGCTTAGGGTTCTCGTGACATGTTGTTGCAAGTAGTCCGCAATACGTACGTCCTTGTTGGGGCGGTCGTCTGCGCTGCCATCTGGGGATAGGTTGTATAGGTCGCTGTAGAAGCCGTGAAATGCATCAGTTATCTTGTCAGGGAGTTGCGTGGCTACTTGGGCCCTGTCTTTAATTTTTGTGATGTGACACAGTCGGCGTTGTCTTTGGAGCGTACGGGCCAGGAGGCGGCCACATTTGCCCGAGTATTCATAGAAAAACCGATGTGATTTACGTATGGTGTACTGTAGTTTGCGGTGAAGGATGTCCCTAAGTGCTTGTCTAGCTTCCAGTAGGGCCCTGTAGTCGTTGTCCGAGTGGGTAGACTTGTGGGTGTTTTCCAGCGCCGAGATCTGTGCGGTCAGTTCAGTCACACGTTGTCGCTGTACCTTCTGCCGTTGGGTGCAAATCTTAATCAGCTGCCCTCGAATAACGCATTTGTGCGTCTCCCATATCGTCAGGGCTGGTACCTCCGGGCATTCATTCTCCTCAAAGAATGTGGTGAGCGTAGATCGGAGTTCCGTCGTTACTAGTGCGTCATTGAGTATCGATTCATTCATCCGCCATTGCCTTTCTCTTGGGCGATATAGGGGGGATCTAAGTGTGGCTGAAACTGGTGAGTGGTCAGACCATCCCATGGGTCGTATTTCTGCTGAGAGTAACATGGGCAGGAATTCCTGGGCCACAAATATATAATCTAGCCTGCTGTAAGACTTATGTAACGTGGAGTAGAAAGTGAAGTCTTTATCCTCAGGGTGATGCACCCTCCAGCCATCTATGAGGCCGGAGCCTCGGAGCGCCTCTCGTATGACTCGTAAGCCTCGAGACGGGAAGGAGCTAGTCCCCCTAGAGGTGTCAGTTCTTGGTTCTAGGGCAACATTCAGGTCTCCTGCCACCACTAGGAAACCCTCCCAGAATGTTTCAAGTTTATTCAGCGTCGTTCTAATAAATTTAGACTGCCGGGTGTTGGGCGCATAGATGCTGGCAAAGGTGTAGGAGCAACCGGCTATTGTGCCTTTTACAAACAGATAGCGTCCCATAGTGTCCGCCTTGGTGGCCGCGCACTCGAACGGGATCGTGCTTGCGAATAAGATCGCCACTCCCGCCTTTTTGGCTGCCTGGTGATTTGCGAAGAACCCCAGCGGGTACCTCGCGTCTTTCAGCTGCGGGCTATCGTCGCCTCGAAAGTGGGTCTCCTGCAGGAGTGCAATGGAAACCCGTTCGGCCCAGAGGGAGCGCAACAGATGGGATCTTCGTTCTGGCACATTCAGTCCTCGGACATTACTCGACCAAACATGGAGGGGCGCAGGCTTGAACTCCGTCCCCATGGCTCATGAAAGAAGGGGTGGGCAAGAGGAAAGGGGGGGAGGAAAGAGCAGGGGCTGGAAGAGAAGAATGTGTCAAGCCCGGTGCGGAACCGCAGCGACTCAGCACCTGTGGTGGTGGTGGCCTTTGGGCCCACGGAGAGTGGGTGTCTAAGACCCCCCTACCAGTTTTAGGAGGGTGCCCGTCGGGAGGGCGCAGGTCCCTTGGAGCACTACCGCAGGACTCAGCCTTCACCTGCGGTTTGTGTTGGGGCGTATTCCCCTGGTGTGTTCTCAGTGAGTTAGTATAGGTGAGTGAACTATGGTAGCTCTCAACTACAGGAAATATGGATCCCTATCTACAGGGATGGGTTAGGTTATCAACTTGTTGTGTATCCAAACCGTGTCACTCCTGCCCCCTGGCCGAGGCATACAGGTGTCGCGGGAGGCATAAGGTCACCGGTAGTTCTCATACGGTCGTGTAGGTTAACGTCAGCCGTACGCCTGTCAGTGTGTGTGTCATAGGGGCTCCGGCCCCGGTCTTCTAGTCTCGGGTCCCCGGGGGATATATCTGCGTGTCAGTGCATGGGTGAGGGGGGTTCGTCATTTCTCTAGCCATGTCCCAGGCGTGTCTAGTCACCTGTGTCGACTGCATCTCCACTTGCGGAAGCTGGAGTGGGTGGCATGGGAAGTCTGTCAGGTCTGCCATGTTGCCTACGTGGGGGGGAGGCCCTGGGGTATCGCTGTCAGGCGTCCGCATGGGGTGGTGGTTCAGGGCTTTGCTTAGTCTCCCTCCTCAGTCCCAGTCAAGAGTCTGTTGGTGTGTCCATGGTTACCGTACATAGCCCTAATCCTTCCCTCGCGGTAGGGCGTGGGAAGGCCTTCTTGCCCGTGTTCTCAGGCCCCTCGAGTGGGGTATGCCCCTAGCCTCAGGAAGAGCCCCCCACCACCCCCCTCAGCATACACCGTTCTCGAACCAGAGTCACCACCTCCGTCAGCTGCATATTTACCACCTCCGGTTGTGAGGGTGCGAGATTCACAGGTTCAGGCCAGGCGGAGAAGTCAGTAGACATGTCCAGGGTCTCGGGGAATGATGTAATGTGGGCCACTAGGAGTCGGGGACTCTATGTATTCCCGTTTAGCTTGCTATTACGCCACCTTGCAGGGTTTCCGGGTTGCGGGGGGACTCCATAGTGGTCCAAACTTCCCTGCCCCTGCTCGTCACAATGGCTTCCCTCCAAGTACCCCCCTCCCAAGTGCCCGTGCGTGACCCTCCAGGTCTTGCCGGCTGATGTGTACCCCATTATGGCAATCGGGAGCGGCTCCCGCCGTGGGTCAAGTCTCCCTCAGAGGAGTCCACAAATTCCCTTTTTATTTATTTATTTATTTTTTTTTTTTTTAAATTTGTTTCCCCCTCCCCCCTTCTCTTTTCCTCAGGTAAGTCCCTCTCCCCCCTCCCCAAGTGTCCTGGTTATGTCCCCTCCATCTCCCTGGGGCCTCGTGTGTGTGTGTGGGCTCTCAAGTCTCCAAGGGTGCGTGTAGAGTTCACCGGGCCCCAACTGACCTGTTCAGGCTCTGGCTGGACTACTCCTCTGGCCCCTCGGGGCCTCCTCTCCGGCGCATTGGAACGCCACGAATAGGTGTAGCATCAGGCGATCCTATTGGGGCTAGCGGGTCTCTCCGTGAGGAGATTGCTTCGTCGAGGATCCAGTTTCGGATTCTGATCTGTGGTAGGCCAAGTGTTCTCTGAAATCTCGGTACGTCCTCCGGCCAGCGGGCCGTCAGCCAGGTGTTACCGTGCCTTGCTTGTAGGCTGAAGGGGAAGCCCCAGCGATACGGGATCCGTTTGTCCCGAAGGGCACTTGTCACCGGGCGCAAGGCTCTTCTGGCATCTAGCGTCAGGCTGGATAGGTCTTGGTATAGTGCGACTTCTGCCTCGCGGTACCTGATGCTGGGGAGCTCCCTTGCGGCTGCCATTATTTTATCTCGCAGGCCACATGTGGAGATGCAGCAGATCACATCCCTGGGGCTGCCATCTTGTCTCGGCGGACCAAGAGCTCTATGCGCTCGGTCGAAGTGTATTGTGTCAGGGGCTTGTGTCCCCAGGAGCTGCCTGAATAGGTCGGCCAGCGTGGCGGGAAGCAATTCTGTACCTGACTCAGGGAGGCCGCGGACTCTTATATTATTGCGCCTGCTCCTATTTTCCAGATCTTCTACTTGTCTGCGCATCGTGAGGAGCATGTTCCCTTGTCTGGTGACTGCCACCTCCGTCGCCCTGTGCTGCTCCTCACATCCGCGGGCTGTCGACTCCATTTCATCCACTCGTTGCTCTAGCGCTGTTAAATCAGAGCGGAGGCCTGCAAGCTCCTCTCGCAGTGCTGCCCAGAGTTCTTGTACTAGGGAGCCCGTGTCCGTCTTGGACAGCATGTTGGTGGAGATTTGGGTTAGCTCGGCTCGGATCCGAGCTAAGTCACTCGCCTGGGTATCCTCCGCCAGGGATTCTCCCGCACTCTCCGAGCCCGGAGAGGCGGGCGCCATCTTGGATGCATGCTGCTGTCCCCTTAGATCCGACGGCATAGCTATAAAATCGTCCATCGGTCCCGTGCACCGGCGAGGGGAGCTGACACCCGCCGACTCTAGAGCTAGGTGCTTTTTATTCCGGACCATTATCTGCCGTTTTGTCGCTATTTTTGCTAATTAGTCGGCCAGGGGTGCGGAGCTCGTTCACTGTGCGTCCTGCACCATGCTCGTCCAGGCCACGCCCCGTAAGGAAACTTTTTTCATATGGATGTCTTAAGATCGATTTCTATAGATTCACTATCTGGCTTTCTTCTGATAGTCTATTTATCTTTACTAATGCACCAGGAGAGGTCTTCATGCCTCTATATAAGCCATCGGCAGAGGGATAGTCTTTTCTATTTTCAGGCAACAAAGCCCTAGAGGTTACAGTACCTGAAGGTCTGTTAGCTCTCCACTAGAGACGCTTCTCCCTCTTGAGCATCAGTGGCCAAGTTTCCCTGGAACTTATAGGTTAAATGCCTGCTTGGGCCTCAACCAATACTTTTTTCAGACATTTTCTTTGGTACATTTGAGTAGGCCAATTTGGTAATATGGCAATAGTGGGCAATCAGTTTTTAATTTCCAATGTCCTTATGAGGTGTGTGTGTTTTCACTTTGCATTCATAATTTTGAAGTCTTATGTATTTCTTTACCTCCTTTCTTTACCTTAGTTATTGCTTGGGTATTACTCATTGTTCTGACATGGATATGACCAGGAAAAAGGAACATGTATTCCTACTTACCGTAATTTTTCTTTGCTGGTCATAGGCCATGGCAGTACAAAGAGGGTCGGAGGGGTAGGAAGGGTTACTTATACATTCTGTTTTAATTAGGTTCCTGTATAATTAGGGATAGGGAGTGCTGCCATGGCCCATGCCCAGGAAAAGAAAATTACATTAATTAGGAATACATTTTCCTTTATATATGTATATTTACATTTGAGACTTAAGTGTGATATGAAATAGCATTTTCTTTACTGCTACTCCTTTTTCCCTCTTTTTCTCACTGCTCACTTTATCTATGGATAAATAAAAAAAATATCAACATTTAGTGACTATCCCCTAGACATTAGTCATCTTTTTTCTCATCAATCATCTTCTGCAACATGTATTGAAACAATTTGCTTGGCCATTGCATGTTTCATTTGGGTTGTGAGTCTGCTACATTTTGGATCGGTGTTTGGAAATTGACAGTCATCTGATCATCCCAAATAAGTATGAATTGCAGTTCAGAGCAAATCGAATCTCCAAGTCTAGTGGTTGCCATTTTTGTCTCAGGCCTAGTCAGCCTTATTGGAAGTAATATAACCCTATCATCTGTGTGCTGGTGAATCCAAAGAAACCCTTGCAACACAAATGACTGTATGATACATTTTGATGGGAAATGTATTATAAAGGAAATACATTAGCCAATACGTCTGCACTACCTGAGAGTCACCTAAAACCATATGTCTCATAATTGCAATTAAAATTATTATCAGTTATATAACACCAAATACTAAATAATTGTTTGCTGCAGCACTGTACAGTAGGCAAACAAGGCAATAATTTAATTCTAACAAAACATGATTGACATACTGTAACAGTAGGTGGAAAGGGCCCTGCCCAAATGAGCTTACAATCTACAGAAATGAGGGAGAAATACACAAAGGGAATCAAAGGAGTCAAAAGGTAGAGCTGATAAACGTTTCTAAAAATATGTGTTTTTAGGGATTTTATGAAGGACTGCAGAGACAAGAAATATCAAATAAGAGAGCATTCCATAAGGAGTGAGCAACCCTGCAGGCAAGAGTATGGTGTGCGATAACATATCAATAACAGGTCATTAGTGTAGCAAGGAAGCCAGGATGGAGTTTATCTGTTAATGAGTAATAAAATGTAAGCAGGGGTACAGCTATGGAGAGCTTTGTAAGTAAGCATAAGAACTTTAAAACAGGAAGCCAATGTAGAGACTGACAGAGGGGAGAGTTGGTGGACGTAAGGTAGATGAGTCTGAAAGAAGCATTCATTATGAGCTGTAAAGGGGCAATCTGGGTACTTTCCAGGTTGACAAGCAGAGGGTTACAATAATTAGGTTGGGAAAGGGCATGGACAAGAGTCTTATTTGTATACTGAGAGAGAAAGGAAAGACTCGAGAAATGTTTTTTTTAAGGTGAAAGTGACAGGATTTAGCCATAGATTTTATGTAACAGGTGAAGGAAAGTAAGAATCATAGAATAGAACACACCAGGACACTGCGCCTGTACGTCAGGTTACAATGGTTTTATTGATCCAAAGGGAATCAGGGACAGATGTAGCTTTAGAGGGAGGAAAAACTATGCCTAAGGTAAATAATGACTGTTCTTCAGTAATTATACCAGAAGAAGTTAAAAAGTGCTGCTGACTAATTATTTTTTAGTAGATAAGTAATTTTACTTTAATTTTGTTTTGTATGTTTTTTTTTTTTACTTCTCTCTAAAATGATGATGACTGTGACAATAATGTGCAGTATCAGGTTGTTCAGGAGAAGGTAGATCTACCATAATTTTGTTGAAGTGATTGTTAAAGGAACACTACAGGGTAAGGAACACAAATATGTATTCCTTACCTTGTAGTGTTAAAAACACTAGCCCAGCCTGCCCCCTACCCCCTGTCCAAAATATAGTAAAATCAAAAGGAACAAGAACAAAATACAAAGCGAGATGTAAATATACAGAGATCTTTCCCCATTGTTTGCTTATAGAGTGTTGTACAAATGCAATAATAAAAAAGTACTCAAATTAAAAGGAGATGGTTGCAGGTCAAGATAGTGTTTACAGCAAAAAGCTGCAGGGACTGACCATACTCACTTGAACAAATACATAAAGCTGTAGTTGTTCTGGTGACTATAGTGTCCTTTTAGGTTTATGCTTGTCCAGGTCTATAGTCTTGATCAGAAACATTGCTAGACTGTGTTGTTTATGAACTCCTGTACAATGAGTTACAAAGCAGACTAGAAACCATTTCCCACTTGAGTCTCAAATATGTATGCCAAGTTTTCTCAGACAGTGTATGCGAAGAAATACATTGGATTGATATCCTGATAGAAACTTGGAGCTTAAAAACTGATTCAGTATGGTGTACAGTTGTAATGATGCCTATCTAATATCAAATGTGAGTTCATAATTTTGAGTGCATGTAAAGTGTGAAATGCTGCTTCAATCAAAAATGCACCTAAATGATGTCACTTGCTCTTCAAATGTGCCTCTAAAATGTCACTTACTTAGCAAGGTGGATTTTATTTAGCACCGCATTAACCTGAGCAGTAACAGTAATCCTAATCCCTAATATCACCCTGTAGCGGAATGAACTTTTGGACGTTAGACTTTATTCCTTTTATGGGCAGTCTGTATCTTCCCCTGTTATTTCGTATGTTTTTACTTATATTTCGTGGGGGGACAGATCACCCTGTCCCTGAATTATCCAGCTATTTACCCTGTTCGCATGGTTGTTCGGTAAATTGCATTCACCTCCCATATTAATAGTATTCTGTTTGACAACCGAACAAATCACCGAATGCCAGACCACCCATATGTGAAGTGTGCCGCTTGTTGACCCCAGTAACCTTGGTTAACACCTCCATAAACCTCAATAACACTAAAATTCTAAGCTGTCGGCAGGGTGGGCGCCGTTCGTATGTGCGAACATGTGGCGGCGGCCATCTTTAACCGTGAACAGAGACAGCGGTGTTTGATCGAGTGTATGGAACTAATATCGTACATTCGATGGCGCGAACACCGCTGGGACTTCCACCTCCGGTTATGTTCTGCGGAATCCATACGAACAGAGTGTCATTTGGGGGGAGCATACTCCTGAATTCGGGGGGAGCATACTCCGGAACAAGATACATGAAATGAGCTCACGCACGAACAGCTCATTCGTTAGTTTT